TACGTACCTATGAACAAATCACGACGGGAGGTTCTTGGTTATTTTCGGCCTCAGGGGGCCCTGACCGGGTCTCGGGACCGTCAAAAAACGATTCAGGATGAAGAACCGGTCCCGGGGAATGGGTCGAGACCTCCAGGGGTCGACGTAACGAAACAATCATGACGTCGGGAGTCCGGGTCTTCGGCCCCTCCAGAGTGGTGCTCCACCTGCAACGCTCGCCGCGTCTCAGGATCGGTGATTTGCTCTTGTCGTTCAGAATGGCGCTCGCCCAGCTCCAGCCACACCGTCGGAAATTGTTGGACAGCGTGTCGCTCCGACGGTTCTGGCCCACCACGCATCGTAGCGATACGCTGCCCACGCTCCCACTCCCAAGCGCCAGCGTCCCCAGTTTTTCCCGGAAAGGGCGTAGGCCCAGGGTTCTCTTTTAGTATGTAAACATAGTCCCCCGTGCCCAACTTGAAGGAGGCCGGCGGATTCTTTCCCTGATAATATCGAGGTCGAAGGAGGGCGGCGGATTAAAATTTGAGGATGTCTCAGGCGAAACGCTTGTTTTTGAAATCCCGATCGATAAATCACAGGGTGCGGGACACCTCAGCACGACATGACCACACCCCAGCACGACCACGCCCAGCACGACCACGCCCCAGCACGACCACACCCCAGCACGACCACACCCCAGCACGACCACACCCCAGCACGACCACACCCCAGCACGACCACACCCCAGCACCAGCACGACCACACCCCAGCACGACCCGATCGATAAATCACAGGGTGCGGACACCCCAGCACGACCACACCCCAGCCGACCCCACCCCAGCACGACCCCACCCAGCACGACCCCGCCCCAGCACGCAGCACGACCACCCCAGCACGACCACACCCCACCACCCCACCCCAGCACGACCCCACCCTCGCACCCCAGCACGACCACACCCCAGCGCGACCACGCCCCAGCACGACCCCACCCCAGCACGACCCCACCCCACGCCACCCGCAAAGACCACACACCCAAGACCACACCCAGCACGACCACACCCCAGCACGACCTCACCGCAGCACGACCGCACCCCAGCACGACCACGCCCCAGCACGACCACGCCGCAGCACGTCCACGCCCCAGCACGACCACCCCCAGCGCGACCACCCCCCCAGCACGACCACCCCTCAGCACGACCACCCCCCAGCACGACCACACCCCAGCACGACCACTCCCCAGCACGACCACACCCCAGCACAACCACGCCCCAGCACGACCACACCCAGTCGCACCCCCGTGGAATGTTTCGTGGGGTGTCTGGTTGAGTGGTTGCCTGTTCGTGGGGTGTCTCGTGGAATGTTTCCCTGGGTGTCTCGTGGAATGTTTCTACAGGTGTCTCGTGGAATGTTTCGCGAGGTGTCTCGTGGGGTGTTTCGCGGGGTGTCTTGTGGGATGTTTCGTGAGGTGTCGCCCAGTTGGGTATCGTGAACACGTGGCCGTGCTGCGCATGTCTATATCCCTTTCCGGGTTCGTGGGTCCATCATGTTCCCAGCATCCCGCCGTGCGGAACGGAGCGACGCGTTGTCCGCCCTCAGGGCACAACGTGTCGCCAGGACCGCCGCAGCGACGCGCTATGCAACAGCCTTCACGTATGTTGTCGACTTCGCGTAAGAGTGACCCTTCGCCAGAGTGACCTTTGGTGCGGGCCCACCAGGGCCCCCCGATGGCCGAACGCGACGCGGTAGTAGCGTCGTGCGCGCTTGTGTTTGGCCCCCCCGTGGCACTCGAAAAGTCACGCACCGAAGGTTACTCTTACCCAGGGCTGCTTTTGCGTGTAGCCGATTCTGGATCCGAATTCGAGCAGGGCTGAGCGTCGGAAGGCGCCCTCTTCTGCAGGACCACCAACAGAGGGACGTCAAGGGGTGAATCAAGGGGGGGCGCCCAGGGGGTGCATCGTCAAGGGAGTGCATCAAGGGGGGCGGTTAAAGCGCGCGGTTAGTGCGCGCAGAGTGGTTGAACCCCTCGACCCTTCGGCCCTACACAAATCCGATTCCGTCCTCGTCGTAGCCGCCTCCTCTCGTCCCCTCCTCCGGCTTCCCCTGGGCCTCCTGCTCGACCGCTCTGCTCCTGGTCCCCCTGCTCCTGCTCCCTCCTGCTGCTGTTCCTCCTCGTCCTTGCTCCTCCTCCTGCTCCTCCTCATCCTCCTCCTCTTTCTTATCCTCCTGCTCATTCGTCCGCTCATCCGCAACCTCCCCCTCCTCACATGCACAAGGTCCGCACATCACACGATGGGGGCAAGTGACGCATCCCAACAGACTCAGACCCAACGACAGACACCAGGCGACGCCGAACTATGGTCCGACTACATCCGCCAGAACACCCGCAGAGCCGAGAAGTTCATGAGTCTACACGCATCCCGCACGTGACGCAGATGCGTCGTAAAATGGCTTTGCAGTGGGCAGCGCGAATCGCCACTCACCCGCCCAGCAGGTGAACACAGAGAGCACTGAATTGGAATCCGAATTTGAACGCGAAGCAACGGGGACATCGGCAACACGGCGTCCAGCACAAAAGGTGGGACGACGACGTGCGGAAATTTCTGCACAACGTATATCGAGATGCAAGCGAAGATGCCACGCAACGAGACATCAGCGACGCCACCCAACGGCGGCGATACCTCCAAGGCGACACCAACGACGTGAGACGGCTCACAGGTGCGGCGGACACAGCATGGTGGACCTCGCTCGAGAGACTTCGCGACGACAGCCGTGTGAAAGTTACGATGTGCCTCGTACCCCAACAGCAGCAAAACGGTATGTGAACACGCTGTTCGAATAGCCCATACATCACATGTTACCACAACAACGCCTCGTGTACGATCGAAATCGGCTTCTCCAGCATCCGACCTCCAGCCCGCAGCATCTGACCTCTCCTTTTCGACCTCCAACTACATCCGACTGTCCAGTTCCACGTCTACCTATCGACCTCCACCCTCCACCAGCTCAGCACCCCGACTTCCAGCCTTTAGCATTTGACTCTGCACCTTCGCATCCGCCCTCACCTACCGACTTCCAACCTCCACCAGCTCACCATTCCAACCTCCAGCGTCCAACATTCGACTTTGCACCTCCGGGCCCACCTCCACCTATCGACTTCCAGCCTCCACCAGCTCAGCACTCCGACCTCTGGCGTCCAGCATCCGACTTCCCACGCCCACTTCACCTATCGACCCCGTGCCTCCACTGGCTCAGCATCCCGACCTCTAGCATCCGACATCCGACCTTCTATTTCCACCCCTACCTATTGACATGCAGCCTCCACCAGACCAACACTCCGACCTCCAGCATCGGGCATCTGACTTCCAGCGACTTCGACCTCCACCCCCACATTGACCTCGAACCTCTACCAGCTCAGCATTCTGACCTACAGTATCCGGCATTCGACCTCCCATTTCCACTTCACCTATCGACTTCCAGCCGCCACCAGTTCGACATTCAGACCTCCAGCCACCGACTTCCAACTTCCACTACCACATCCAACTATCGACTTACAGCCTCCACCAGCGCAGCGCTCTGACATCCAGCACCCAGCAACGGACTTTCCACTTCCACCGTCGACTGTCGACCTCCAACTACCACCAGCTCAGTATTCTCATTTTCACCATCCAGCACCCGACCTCCGCCCACTGACCTGCACCTACCAGCTCAATACTCCGACCTCCACCAACACCAAAGCCAATCTCAGTAAAGACCAATACAACCACAAAACGCACAGCTTGACACCAACGCAGACCACCATATACCATCAGTTACGACGACACGCTCGTCCACGAGGACTCCAACTGCAAGTATCCCTCCCCCTCCTCTCCACCCTTTCTGTTTCACATAGTTGTTATACGTCTCGCAAGCATGCTTCACCATCGACTATCAGATTTCGGAGGCCGCGGCCTCCTTCACCTGGTTTCAAGTCGGCCTGGACGGCTGTCCGCATTGGTGGTCTTTTGTTCGTTCGTTCATTGGTTCCTCCTCCTCCTCCTCCTCCTCCTTCTCCTCCTCCATCTCCTCCTCCTCCTCCTCCTCGTCCTCCTCCTCCTCCTCCTCTTCTTCCTATTCCCCCTCCTCCTCCTCCTCCTCCTCCTCCTCCTCCTCCTTCTCCTTCTCCTCCTCCTCCCTCTCCCACACTGCATGCAGCTTCTCTGCCCGCGTCAGCAACTTCTGGCTGCTTTCTGATGGGTCCTCCTCCTCGTCCTCGTCCTCGTCCTCCTCATCCTCCTCTTCCCTCCCTCTCTCCTGACGCGCCCTCTTGCCTTTCTCGCTTCCTCGCGAACGTCGAGTTGACACCTTCTTGCGCCGTGGTGACCAACCTCCTCTCCGCCTTCTCCTGCTGTTGCTCCTTTCTCCTTCCCACCTCCTCCTCCTCCTCCTCCTCCTCCTTCTCCTCCTCCTTCCTCCTCCTTTCCTCCTCCTTCCTCCTTCCTCCTCCTCCTCCTCCTCCTTCTCCTCCTCCTCCTCCTCCTCCTTCTCCTCTCCTCCCTTCTCCCTGCCCTTCCCCATCGGTGTCACGCCTCTTCTTTTGACCCCGCCTCGCTCCCTCCCTTCTTGGCCTGGGAGGCGGCGACCTGGTCAGCAGCGGGCGCCTCACCAGGCACACGCTGTCGGCCGCTGTTGCCGCCGCCAGCGTCGCCGCCGCTGCCGTCAGCGTCGCGTCGCCGCGGCCACCGCCGGCGTCGCTGCGGCCGCCGCTGACGTCGCCGAGGCCGTCGTGGTCGTCGTCGTCATCATCGCCGCTGCCGCCGCCGCCGCCCGCCGTCGTCGTCGCTGCCGCCGTCGCCGCCAGCTGTCGCCGTCGGCCGTCCTCGTCACCGCTGGCCGTCGCCGTCCGCCGTCGCCGTCGCCGTCGCCGTCGCCGTCGCCGTCGCCGTCGTCGTCGTCGTCGTCATCGTCATCTTTGTCGTTCGTCGTTCGTCGTTCGTCGTTCGTCGTTCGTTGTTCGTCGTTCGTTGTTCGTCGTTCGTCGTCGTTCGTCGTTCGTCGTTCGTCGTTGTGCGTCATTCGTCGTCGTAGTCGTTGTCGTCGCCGTCGTCGTTCGTCGTTCGTCGTTCGTCGTTCGTCGGTCGTCGTTCGTCGTTCGTCGTCGTCGTCGTTCGTCGTCGTCGTCGTCGTCGCCGTCGCCGTCGTCGTTCGTTGTTCGCCGTTCGTCGTTCGTCGTTCGTTGTCGTCGTTCGTCGTCGTCGTCGTCGTCGTCGTCGCCGTCGTCTCCCCAATCCTTCCTCTTTCGTAGTCCCACCCACGGAGCAGCACTACTATCGTGCTGCGGAGTAGCACTGCTATGCTGCGGAGCAGTGCTGCTGTGGCGTTGCGCGGTGCTCGCGGGCACCCAGAACCCCGACGTCGTGTTTTCTTGCGAAGGCCTTACGGCCAGTGCCGCCGACCTGAAGGGGGACGACGACGACGACGACGACGACGATGACGGCGGCGGCGGCGACGACGACGATGACGACGACGATGACGACGACGACGTATGTCAGGGTCCTCTGGGATTCTGTTTGGGGTCTCTTCGGAGCGCTCTCGGGGGCCTCTGGGGGGCAGTTTTGGGGGCCCATTGGGAGCATCTTGGAGGCATCTTGGGAGTCTCTTGAGAACCTCGTGGGGCTTCCTGGGGGCCTCTTGGAGGCCTCTTGGAGCCTCTTGGGGGCCTCTTGGGCCGTCTTGCAGGCGTCTTGGGCCGTCTTCGGGACCTCTTTGACCCGTTTCGGGACCCTCTTGGAGGCCTCTTGGGGCGATTGTTGGAGCCCTCTTGGGCCGTTTTGGAGCGTCGGAAAGCTGAAAAGGAGAGAACGCGCAAATCCTTTAAAAACTTAGGTAAATCCATGCATTTTGCCTCTTGGGTCTCTCTTGGGAGTGCATTTCGAGGGCTCTCGGGGCGTCTTCCAGCCTTCTTGGGCCGTCTGGAGGGTGCAAAAGACGTCTTGGCCCGATCGTTCGGCGATTCGGGGTCCTCTTGAACCGTCTCGGGGGCCTCTTGGAGCACTCTTGGCTCGTCTAGGGACCTCTTGGGGGCCCGGCCCCTCCCCAGGGAGGGGGGGGCATTCTGACCCGGGACCCCCCCGCGACCCCCCGGGGACCCCCCGCCCTGGCGGGGAAGGAATCAAAAAGGAAGGGGCTTCCCTTCGACTCACTTGCGACGTTGCTCAATTTCGTTTCGACTGGCGCGCTGGAGGAGGAGGGGCCCCCAAAAAGGTGAGGGCAGCGACGAGCCCCGGGAAAGCGGCGGCAGCGACGGCGACGACGTCGACGTCGACGCAGACGAGTCCAACGGAGCAGCATCTTTCGGCTACGCGTAAGAGTGACCCTTCGCCAGAGTGACCTTTGGTGCGCGCTCACTGGGGTCCCTCGATCGCCGTGCTCGGTGCGACAGTAGCGTCTTGCGCGCTTGTGTTCGGCCTCCTCGCGCCCCCCAAAAAGCCGCGCACCAAAGGTCACTCTTGCCCAGGGTCACTCTTACGTGCAGCCGAATTTTCTATACGCCGACAGGGTCGGCGGATTTTCGCAACGTGGACCCCCAGACCCAGCGCCGGCTTCCCACCCCGAGCCGTTTTTTGACGGAATCTTGGGGCCCGGCGAGGGCCCCTGGAGGGCGGGAAGTATCGGAGGCCGCTCTCTTTGTTTCACAGCGCGACGAGGGGTGTAGTTTTTGGACCATTGCTCGGGTCGTCTCTGGCGGCCGCTCGGGACGACCATGCGGACACCTCCAGAGCGCCCTCGGCGGGGCGCAGCTGCAGGAAAGTATTTGGAGGCTGGAGAACCTCGGGGAACCCACGGACTCGCCCGAAAACCTTGAAGCTCGAACGCCAGGAGGTAGAGCGGCCATCGTCGCTTGGATGGTGCGGAGAGCAGGTAGTTATCCGCTCGCGCTGCGCCCCCACTCAGGGGCAATGTTAGGGAGGGATAGTTGAGTATAGCCACGACCCCAGTTAATGGGAGCTGGTCAGTGATTGGTCTCCGAAGCCCAAAATATGGATCGGAATCCTTAAACTTACATCGGGCGTGTCCCTCTACAGGAGGAATACGTAGTTCAAAAACAGTCAAACAATAGTATGGGGACGATTTGTTGAGTATTATTTTGACCATTTTGGAGTGTTTGTTTGACTATTTAAAATGTTTCACCTAACATTCCCCTGTAGGGGGAGACGCCCGACCTAACACTACACCAGGTCTGCCGTAGCTGATGCTTTTCGGGTGACGGCAGTTCCGGTTAGTGGAATGGGACGGGGGGGGGGGGGGGCGGCGCCCCCCCGGTACACATCTTAAACCAGGTCCCACTAAACCCAGTCCCGCCAACGCCCGAGATAGGCTCAGGGGCGTACACATTGTTCATTTCTCATTATTCCCCATATGTTTCGTGGGGTTTTGGTTTTCTTCCCTGCCGCGCCGCACCCGCGTCTCACACCTCTCTCTCCTCCCCTTCTCCTTCTCGCACAGCACAGCACAGCACTGCTCAGCATAGCTCAGCACAGCTCAGCTCAGCTCAGCTCAGCACAGCTCAGCTCAGCTCAGCACAGCACAGCACAGCACATCACAGCACTGCTCAGCATAGCTCAGCACAGCTCAGCTCAGCTCAGCTCAGCACAGCACAGCACAGCTCAGCACAGCACAGCACAGCACAGTACAGCACAGCACAGCACAGCACAGCACTGCTCAGCACAGCTCAGCACAGCTCAGCTCAGCTCAGCACAGCACAGCTCAGCTCGGTTGTCCAGGCCGTAGCAGGCGTGGCATTTTCTGGTCCCCCTATCCGCGCCGGTCGTCCAGGCCGTAGCAGGCGTGGCAGTTTCTCGACGCCATAGTGGGTGCGCACGGGGTGGTCCCCCTATCCGCGCCGGTCGTCCAGGCCGCAGCAGGCGTGCAGTTTCTCGACACCGTAGTGGGTGCGCAGGGGGTGGTCCCCCTATCCGCGCCGGTCGTCCAGGCCGCAGCAGGCGTGGCAGTTTCTCGACACCATAGGGGGTGCGCAGGGGGTGGTCCCCCTATCCGCGCCGGTCGTCCAGGCCGTAGCAGGCGTGGCAGTTTCTCGACGCCGTAGTGGGTGCGCACGGGGTGGTCCCCCTATCCGCGCCGGTCGTCCAGGCCGTAGCAGGCGTGGCACTTTCTCGACACCATAGGGGGTGCGCAGGGGGTGGTCCCCCTATCCGCGCCGGTCGTCCAGGCCGTAGCAGGCGTGGCACTTTCTCGATACCATAGGGGGTGCGCACGGGGTGGTCCCCCTATCCGCGCCGGTCGTCCAGGCCGTAGCAGGCGTCGATACCATAGGGGCTGCGCAGGGGGTGGTCCCCCTATCCGCGCCGGTCGTCCAGGCCGTAGCAGGCGTGGCAGTTTCTCGACACCATAGGGGGTGCGCAGCGGGTGGTCCCCCTTTCCGCGCCGGTCGTTCAGGCCGTAGCAGGCGTGGCAGTTTCTCGACGCCGTAGGGGGTGCGCAGGGGGTGGTCCCCCTATCCGCGCCGGTCCGTCCAGCTCCGTGGGCGGCTGGCAGTTTCCTTCTCAACACCATAGGGGTGCGCAGGGATTTCCCCCTATCCGCGCCGTCCGTCCAGGCCGTAGCACGTGGCGCTTTCTCGAACACCATAGGGGGTGCCAGGGGGTGTCCCCCTTTCCGCGCCGGTCGTTCCAGGCCGTAGCAGGCGTGGCACTTTCTCGATACCATAGGGGGTGCGCAGGGGGTGGTCCCCTATCCGCGCCGGTCGTCCAGGCCGTAGCAGGCGTGGCAGTTTCTCGGTACCATAGGGGGTGCGCACGGGGTGGTCCCCCTATCCGCGCCGGTCGTCCAGGCCGTAGCAGGCGTGGCATTTTCTCGACACCATAGGGGGTGCGCACGGGGTGGTCCCCCTATCCGCGCCGGTCGTCCAGGCCGTAGCAGGCGTGGCACTTTCTCGACACCAGAGGGGGTGCGCAGGGGGTGGTCCCCCTATCCGCGCCGGTCGTCCAGGCCGTAGCAGGCGTGGCAGTTTCTCGACGCCATAGTGGGTGCGCACGGGATGGTCCCCCTATCCGCGCCGGTCGTCCAGGCCGCAGCAGGCGTGGCAGTTTCCCGACTCCATAGTGGGTGCGCAGGGGGTGGTCCCCCTATCCGCGCTGGTCGTCCAGGCCGTAGCAGGCGTGGCAGTTTCTCGACGCCATAGTGGGTGCGCACGGGGTGGTCCCCCTATCCGCGCCGGTCGTCCAGGCCGTAGCAGGCGTGGCACTTTCTTGACACCATAGGGGGTGCGCAGGGGGTGGTCCCTGAGCGCGGCCGCTATCCGAGACGGTCGTCCAGGGCATAGCACGCGTGGCAGTTTCTCGTTCACTTAAGGGGTGCGCAGGGGGGTCCCCAGAGCGAGGCCCGCTATCACGAGACGGTCGTCCAGGGCCAAGCAGGCGTGCACTGTTCCGACACCATAAGGGGGTTACAGGGGTGGTCCCTGAGCGCGGTCGCTATCCGAGACGGTCGTCCAGGGCATAGTAGGGGTGGCACTTTCTCGATTCCAGAGGGGGTGCGCAGGGGGTGGTCCCTGAGCGCGGCCGCTATCCGAGACGGTCGTCCAGGGCTTAGCAGGCGTGGCACTTTCTCGATTCCATAGGGGGTGCGCAGGGGGTTGGTCCCCGAGCG